GTCACAACACAAGTTAAGATCAGTGTGTTTTTCCACGACTAAATGCATTAGGTGGGCTCTTTCCAGCTTTATTTTGATATTACCTGAGTATGAGCTGGGATGCACACGGGCAACTGTTGCTCACAGGAAACTCACAGTACAAACTCTGCCTTTACTGTGCTGCTTGGGTAGGAATGGCATCCCATTTAAGAAGCCTAGGGCCCACATTTCTAGATTCTGACTCAACAGCCTTGCACCCTTTACTTAGGGTTTTTAGGTCTTTGGGAAGTCTGTGCAGAATAAGCATATGCTGGGGTAAAAGGTCGGAGTAGATCTCCTCTAGGGTTTTGCCCCTAAAATGTGGCCTCTGGACCAGCAGCAATTAGATGACCCAGGAGGTAGAGGAAATGCAGAGTCTCGGTTCCATTCAGACTTACTGAATCCAACTCTGCATTTGAATAAGGATTCCTGATGATTATTACATACCATGCCTTGAGAAGTCCTGCCAAGGCAACTTCTAGTTTGGGGAGTTGGTGATTTTCCAGTCTATATAGCCTCTGTGATGGGAAGGAGTTAAGATCAACTTCAGCCCTCCAGGTATTCTGAATTGTTACCCTAAACCCATCAAAACCTGAGGACTCAGACAGCACTCAGGTCGGTCTGAGGGCCTCTAAAGTGTTAGAGGAGGCTCTCTTGGATTTGGATCTTGATTATGCTCCTGACAACATCAAGTGCTTTACTAACTTCTTAGTGGCTCAGTTTCAATGGGAAAACACTGTCTGCCTCAGAGCATTGTTGTGAAGAGTAAATTAAACAATGGGCATTAAACAAAGGAAATAATGCCCATTAGCACAGTTCTCTTAACTAGTAGTCATGATAATAATGATGGTAGTGATGATGATGAAGGTGCTAAGGAAAAATAACTTTCCTAGGAATCAACCAATGATAGAAAAGAGACAATTCACTAAGTGATCAATGAAGGATGCTTGCTTGGCTGTTGGTTGGAGGGTCATTGGGGATTTTGTAGTATAATGGTTTCTGCTTGACAGATTCCTTCAGGGAGTCTAAAGGGGCTTCCCAAGTAGGCTAGCCAGCAAGCCATGAACTCTGGGATCACAAGAGCACTGCCCCCATGCCTGCTTTGTTGACGTGGGTTCTGGGACTCAAATGTAGGTCCTCACTCCTGTGCAGCCAGTTTTCCCACTGCGCTGTCTCCAGAGCCAGGCAGGGGGGTGTTTAAGGGAAGCTGCTCTGCTTTACCTCATCACGGTTTTCCTCTATATCAAGAACCAGCTGAATGTCTCTCCATCTTCATATCGCCCTTTTCTCTGGAGGAGAAAATAGGTACCACTCTGGTCTTTTCTGCAGTTTAAATTCAGGAAGAAGGAAAAGCAAATGTTCAAAGTAGTGCAGCCTGAAAACCTTAGTTAGAAATTTCTATTTGATAAAGATGAGTTAAAGTGGTTACTTTTAGAGACTTCTGTTAGCCACTCCAAACACATTGACTGATGATGGTAATGGCATTCAGCCTGCTTCATTTTCCACCCCTGGAGAATTCACTTTCCTCCATTGTTCTCAGCCATTCCTGCTCCTGAGAAGTATGAAAATGATGCTTATGACGACAATAAATCTTGACCTCTTCAAAGACAGAGCGAGCTGTTAGCAGGATGGGGTTAAGGAGCCAGATGCCCAGGAATGTTTTCATTGTCCTTTGAAAATGCCAGGGGACCCTTCTGAACAAGATCAAGAATGAGAAGTGGACGCGTTTGGCTTCTCCCATTAGCCACCACAGGTCACAAGGTCAGGGCTCTGGCCTCCAGGAACCCATGAATATCAAATACGAAGGGTGCCTTGTTCCTTATTCTCCAGACGGCAAACTGTGGAATTATCCATTATGGCCATGAATTGCCACTTTATTTTCAAAGCAGTAAAAGAGAAGAAAAGCCAAACATAAAAAGAAAAAGAAAAAAAACTGCATCTTAAACCTTTTCAATTTTTAAGCCCATAAATATAGAAGTCGGGACAAGAGTCCTTTCTTTGAAAAATATTTTATGTCAGATTGTGCCATATATAATATTTAGCAAGTTTATTTTCTCTCATGGGAGGTAAAGGATTTTACCAGCTCCACTCGCAGCAAAATTTGTGGCCCAGTGTTGAAATTTATTAGAACCAAGTCCTCAACTTCCCATTTAAATTTTGGGCACTGAATTTGATTGGGTGTCAATTGGTTCTGAAGTTTTGAACTTGGTTCGAAAATTGGTTGCTTGGAGAATCTATAAGGCTGGGGAAGGAGGGAAAGAGGACTCAGGAGAGGACCAATCTGCCTCACACGTTTCCTCAACTGGGAGTGACTTCTCTTTCTTGACTCCTTGGTCACTGTGTACCACACAGAGGTGGTGTGTGATGATGCCTTGCAGGGTGCGTTGTCCTCATTTGGGGAACTAAATGACAAAGTGGCTAGATAGTTATGGTCTGGAGTTCAAGAACCCCCAAATCTGTGCATTTATCTTGCTTCTGCCACTATCTATGGAAGGTAAGACAGGCTGTGCCTCAGTTTCCTTATTTTCAAGGCACAGATATTAGTTGTGTCTACCTTGTGGGGTCAGAGTGAGAATTGAATAGGTGAATTAATTCACAACAATGCAACTAAAGGTGTGCCTATCATAAATCAATCCTAATTGCTTGCTACTTTTCATTCTAGACTCTTGAAATTGAGAAGACGGGAAAACCCACCATATTTATATCATGTTATTTTTGTAGTGTCAGGTGTAGTACCATTTTATAGTACTTATTTATTTCACAGAAGTATATTATATGCCTACATGGGGTAGGCCCTTTACAGGAGACACAATGTCTGCCCTTCTGGCATGGTGGAGAGATGAGACGATCTGGAGTGCTTCCAATAAGGAAGTGTGGGATGATATGGATCATCTACCCTGGGTTCCTATTTCTATCTATGGGATATAACTTGGGTTTCCAGGATGGAAATGATGTCTTGGAAGGACAAGAACAAGGAGTATTCTCAAAGTAGACACACACCTCTGGAAGTCATCCTAGGAGCTGATTGAATGAAAGAATGTGAAGAAATTTTGGTTGGCTTTTAAGAAAGCTAGGGAACCTCAACACCATCTCTGGTGGGTTTTGTTGCATAGGGAGTGTCCAGACCCTCTTGATTGTCATGTTTTAGTTCCCCAGGTAAGGATGAATGATGGGTGCTGGGGCTGTAGCTCAGTTGGTAGAGTGCTTGTTTAGTATGCACAAAGCCCTGGGTTTGATTCCCAGTACCACTTAGACCATGTGTGATGTTACATATCTGTAATCCCAGTGCACAGAGGCAGAGTCAGAAGGGTTAGAAATTCAAGGTTATTTTTAGCTATATAGCAAGTTCAAAGACACCCCAGGCTATCTGAGATCCTGTTCTTAATAAAGAGGATGAATGTTAGAGGAGGTCCACCTGAAGAGTGCCCCTGTGCAAAAGGCTCCATGCTGAATCAGGACTTAAGTATATCCACATGCTTCAGTAAGCATATTGTTTCCTTTATTACTTTCTTATACATGTATTTTACTAACATCTCCCTCTGAATCTTGCAATATCTCTAGTCACTTACCATGATGATACTGATAGAAGTCTTGACTACAAGAAACAAATGACTTCCCATAAAGAAAGCAGATCAAGCTTTCTTCATTTCTTATCCAGAACTTGCCGTTCTGAATCTCTGTCACTGTTAAAGGGATCTTGGTTCCCATCTATATCTTTCTGGTTGTCCTTTCCACACTCAGACAGCATTGTTCCCCCCCACCATGCGTTTCTTAACTTATAAGTCATAAGCTGACCTTTGATCTGGAAGACGGGGGGGGGGGGGGGGGGGGGGTTAAGTGACAACAACAGATTGCTCACTCATTTAAAAGTTATGGAGAAGCAGTAGAACTATACAAGCTCTTATCTGGAAAGCTTTGGTATCAAGCAGAAGTGAGCCACCATCTTCCTCTCAGAGCAGAATGGCAGGAGTCCTTGTCAGTACACACCATGTTTCTCTGAAGATAAACCCTTGATAGAGTTGGAAGCCTGGCTGCTTCCTGCCCCCTGAGAGCTGGGTCCCCTTGACTCTCAGTAACCTTTTCAGCGTTTCACTCAACAAGATCAATAGCTTTCCATTAATCCTTTGGGCTTGGAGGAAGCAGAATAGATGAGAGAAGGCAAGTCGGGTGATGGATACTTCAGAATCACCCAAAGCTAAATGGTTATTTCATATATTGAATCCAGGAGAGAGATTCACTATAAATGTACACATTTCCCCAAGACAGGTGAGTGACTGCATGGTTCTCTGGAGCAAGGATGAATTGGTTGTCAGCATTTCCTTCTTCTCTTCTCTTTTCCTTTTTGAAACAGGATCTCACTGTGAAGCTCAGGCTGGCTTGAAACTCAATACATAGTCCAGACTTCTCTTGACTTTCAAGCCTCCTGTCTTTACTCCCTGAATACTGGTATTATAAGCATGGTGCCCAACATTTAGAGAAGCAGCTAATTTTTGTGCTTTTTTTTCCACACAAAGGAAAATGTCTGTAGAATACATCTCTCCCCAGAGAACTTTTTAGAACAACTGAACATGTACAGTGGCTTGCTTTTTCAAAAAGCCCACGTTGTGTTTTAATGGAGAGTTTGTTATTCAGTAGATGTGGGAGATAGAATTGGGTTATATGAGGATTTCTCACGAGAAGACAAACAGTGAGGAAAATGGAAATGTGCAGAGTAGGTTACATCAATGCTACAGGGTAGCCACTCCAAGAGTTTACCTGTGGAGCCTACGGAACATGACAACAAGGCTCTCTACAATTTGAATTTGGAAATTCCCTAAAAGCCCATTTGTGAGAGGCTTTTTCCCTAGCCCACAGTGCTAACCAGGAGGTAGGAGAGCCTGTAAGAGGTGGCAGGTAGTGGACAGTGGTAGGATATTAGAGGTCTGTCCTTGAATAGGACTGTGGGAATCCAGTCTCATTATCTCTCCCTCTTTCTCTTCTAGGCTGTCATGATGTGATCACCATGTGCCTTTGTACAAGCCCCAAACCAACAAGGGCTTAGTTGGTTATGAGCTGAAATCCTCAAAACTGTGAGTAAATATCAAACCTTCTTCTTTATAACTTGAATATCAAAGGTGTTTTGTCATAATATTAGAAAGCTGACTAACAGAGGATTTAGTGAGAATGGAAATGACCCCACGATAACAGCTGCAAACTTTAGCTGAACCTTCGAGCAGAGTTTTCCTCGTGTCTTTCTGGTAAAGACAAGGCCACTCATTTACTTATGTGCAACCTAAATGCTTATGTAGGTCTTATATTTTAACAGTTTCTTTTAAAAACAGCATCTGTGGAGGGTGTATTTGATCAAAACATATTATATGCATGCATTAAATTCTCAAACAACAAGTTAAAAAATATTATTAAAATCAGCATCTCTTAAAATTGATCAAACTTGTCTGTGAATATAATGAGAAGTATCAAGCTGCTTAAGGCTTGGAGTGGGAGGTAGCAGAAGCTGCCCTACGCTCAGCCATCTAGCTCTCAGAAACAACCACTTTGAACTTTTATAGCTGTTTCCTTACAGTTATTGCTTTTTTAGGCTTATCAGCGTGAGGCATTAATTATTCTCTTTATGTAGTGTGGTCACCTACTTCACACTTTACTCCCTATACCTTCCCACTCAGTCCTTCAAAAAAAAATGTTTCTCAGATCTGGAAATGATGTGACTACACCATTATGACTTTCAGAATACCTGTCTGTAGAATAAATTCCTCCCAAGAGAACTTTCTAGAATGATTGATCGTGTGCAGTGACTTCCTTTTCAGAGTCAATGGTGTTCCATGATTACAATTTCTTCAATAGCTGGTGTTTTCACTCGGGTTTCCAACTAATTCCTCTGTTCTGTGTATTGTTTGTTCTTAATATATCCTGTATAATTTCATATCTAAAAAGTTTTTTCTTAGCACATATTAGCAATATAGCAATGAGTTTCTATATGATATGTTCATTTATGAATATATCATATTTTGATCACGTTGCCCCTGTTATCCTCTGTGGTTCTCAGATTGAAAGAACACATCAGTCTACAGCCATACCACCTAGAATGAGTCCAGTCTCTACTGAAAGGATGGATCATACTCCAGCTAGGTATGACCCCCCTTCCTCAGTCTTCCATGTAATTCTGCCTTTGTTGTGAATTCTCCACAAAGTGTCATGTTCCTCGAGGGGAGCACTGCATCCTCCCCTCTGGCATGCACTAGATAGATGTTCATTAAGTATTTGATGAATGAATGAATGACTGTATTTCCATGGGGTGTTGAATAAATGAGTTTAGGCTTTATATGCTTGAATGAACTTACTTTCAGATGTAAAATATGGTAATATAATTGTTTGAATCCATCAATTTCCTTTCTCCTTGTCTTTACATTATACTCTTGAGTTCATTATGCAAATATGCATATGTTCCCAAGTATAACCTGAATTGCAACCAAAAAGTGAGTAGTACAAGTACTATCAATCACACACAAAGATTAGCTATGAATACTTAAGTCTGGATAAGAAATAGCTGATATTTAATAAAAAAACTCACACAGTCTTTATACCTGAGCAAGCCATTCCATATGTATTATTATTACCTTCCATTCCTCCTTAATGTGAATACTGACTGTAAATCACATGCAGTATCTACTGCTATGTTCTGCACCCCCTGACCCTCTGCTTGGAATTTTCCTCCCTTTGCCTCTCACTACTGTTCTTACCGCAGCATACAAGCCTAGCTCATGCCTACGCTTTCTTCATGGCCCAGCTCAACTGCCTTTGACCAGGACTTCTTTTCTCTATTTAAATTCTTACATTATGCATCACGTATGCCAAACAGAATTGAATTTTTATCTGAGTGATTTTTTTTTTAGATTAGTGACTACATCCCCTCCTAGACAGAAAGCATCCTCAGTGTGGGATCCCATCTGGATTTGCTTCTGTCTCATCCACAGCATTTTGTAGGTACTCAGTTACATCATTAAAACCTTCCTTCAAGGGCTACAGACAGAGCTCAGGGGTTGAAAGCTTGCTCGGCATGCACAAAGCCCTGGGTTTGTCTTCCAGCACAGCAAATCATCACACCACTACCCACCACCACCACCACCACCACCACCACCACCACCACCACCACCAAAAGCAACAACAAAACAAACCAACTTAAAAACATGACAAAACGAACAACCTACATACATACACACACATAGATTTATTTATTTATTTGTTTTTCTATCTATCTATCTATCTATCTATCTATCTATCTATCTATCTATCTATCTTCCATCTATCCATCATAGTTTGGTTTCTGTTTCTGTGATAAATACCACCAGTAAAAATAATTTGGAGGAAGAAAGGGTTTAGTTCATCTCATACTTCCAGGTCGCAGTCCATCACTGAGGGAAGTCAGGGCAGGAACTAAAGGCAGGAAACTGGAACAGAACTGTGGCGGTATACTGCTTACTGGCTTTGCTCTTTGGCTGGCTCAATTAGTTTTCTTATACAGCTTAGGCCTGACTGGGTAGGGATGGTGTTTCTCACAGCAGGCTGGACTCTCCTCTCACAGCAATTATCACTCAAGACAATCTCTTAGAGGCATGGCGGCAGACCAGTCTGATCTTGACAATTCTTCTGTTGAGGTTCCCTCTTCCCAGGTAACTCTAGATTATGCCAAGTTGACAATAAAAACTGACTAGGATATTTATTCACCATTTATTTATTTAAAATAAATGATCTATAACTTTAAATTTGTGGAAATTTTCTTTCTGAATATATTGGTGAAAACTTGGCTTTTGGATAAAGGCCTGGGAGTAATGAGCAGAATTGGGAAATCGAGATTTAGTGGGGTTTTGTTCTATTGGATATGCAAAGAAAATATGAAAACTTATATTCATAATGAGTTTATTTAAATATGATGCACTATAACACTTCATTTGTCATCATGAATATTCAAGTCTTCCCACTTCAGCGAATTTTCTAAATAAACATCTTACCTTATGCAGTACAAAAGCATTTAAAATATATTTTATATTGAACAAAATATTTCCACTATGTATAGAGATCTTTCTGTTTCTTTGAAAGAACAAGTTGACCTTAATCCTTTTTCTGGTGACACTGTCACTTTTAGGGACATTAGAAAGTAAAATATACTTATGATTGATTGCCACAAGTGTGTAGGATATATGGGGTAAAGAAACAGGTTAGCTATGAAGAACTTCTTTTGTTTTAATTTAAGAAATGAAATATTGAGTCAATACTAAAATATTTTTTCAAAATAAGGGTGTGGTAAAACCAAATAACTGTACCATAATCCTGTGTCTATCTCCAACCCCATTCTAAAATTAGGATGTCTTCGTGACCTCTAAGATGTATGGGTGCGTCTTTCTAGACTCTTTACTCAAAACTTTATTTGGAAGTTTTTCTTCATGATTATCTTTCATTTTGATGGCTTCATAGTGTATGTTTGAGGTCTGAACAATGTTTTATTTAAATTTGCATATTTGTGATTGTTTCTGAATGGGGCCCAGCATTCAGAAACATACTTTCATTTTGCTTAGTATTGTGCTCATAAGGGCTAACATTGTCAGCGGTACAGCTGTTTTTTTCTTTTATTTCTCTGACGTATAATACCCCATCCCGAGACTCATTTGTTTCTCGGCTATGCCATTATGCTGCTGCCATGAACGTGCTTCATCTGTGTCCCTGGTGTCCACATCTGAGAGGTTATCTCTACATCTATGAGTGGTGTTGCTGAGTCACAGGTTGTGTGCCTCTTAGATGAGATAAAGCCTGAATGCGCTCTGTAGTAATTGTGCAAATTTACACTCCCAGAAGCAAATTTAAGCATTTTAGTTCAACATTCTATCACTTTGTGTTGTCAAACCTCTAATTTTTACCAAGCTGGCAAGTGTGAAGCGGTATTTCATTATAGTTTTAATTTGCATTTCTCTGATTACTAATGAGGCTGAGCCTTTTCTGCACATATTTATAGGCTATTCAAGTGCTCTTTTCTGTGAAGTGCCTGTTCAAATATCCTGCCCATTTCTGATTGAGTTTTGTTTGCCTCTTTTGCATGTTGATCTCTAGTTCTTTATGATATATTTCATTGAATTTTTGAGATCTCTTATTATAAGAGGTACTGCTCTTTTATTTATTCCTGTGAAAGAAATATACTAACAAATACAGAAATACACACAGTGGATTGTAAGATGCACCCTGATAAAAGAGCTCCTAAGACAGAAAAGAAATTTGCATCTTATAATGATGAAATATATATTCTAGATTTTAATCCTTTGCCAATTAAGTGTATTTTAAAATATAGTCTCTCAATTTGTATGTTGTTTCATTATCTTTTTATATTCTCCTGATGCAAACTAGTTTTTAATTTAATGTAGTCCAATTTTAACATGTTTTCTTCCACATTTTTTTCCATCTGTGTTTTAAGAAGTCTTCCCTGCTTTGAGACAATAAAGAAATCTCCGTATTTAAAATTTTTTTCCTTTATGTGTTTTATAGATTTGCCTCCCATGTTAACAATTTTTTAATTAACTTGGAATTGATTTTGGATTATGTTATGAAAGACTCTGCAAAGTAATATTAATTATTCTGGTATTGTGAAGTCCTTTCTTTTTCATCTGACCTGCAATTCTATCTTAATCTCAGGGCAAGTGTTTGCATCTGTGTGCAGCTGTTTGGGGGCTCTTAAGTCGACTCCATTGATAATTCTCTTTATTTCAACATCACCACGCAGTTTGGTGTGGGTTTACTGTGATGCTTATTGTGGTTTCAATGTGAAATGGTTCTCATGTTGTTGGAACCTAGGTCCTCCGCTCCTGGTGCTATCTTGGGAAGCTCTGGGAACCTTAGGAAGTGGGGGTCTAACTAGAGGAAGTAGATACCTGGCACATCTTCGTGGAGATTGGGACACTTTGTTCCTGGTCCTTTCCTGTTTCTTCTCTGCTTCACACCCACCATGAAGGGCATGGCTCTCTGCACCACATAGTCCCACCTCCATGATATTCTGTCCAAGTATATGGGGCCACAGGGTCATAGATTAAACCTTCTTGGACTACAAATCAAAACAAATTCCTCCTTTGTAAAGTTGTATTGTCAGGATCCCATTGCAGCAATACAAAATTAGCAAGTACAGAACCAATGACTTAAATCTCAGTGCCTGAAGGCAGCATCACTGATGTGCATGGATCCCTAACTTTTTGTATTGCTATGGTTTCTGTACAAATGTGGATAAATTATAAAATCCTTATGCCTTGTGTATCCTACACCTACTCTTACATGTAAATTAACTACTAGTCGTAAAATATTTCTTTTTTTTTTCCTTGTGGTACTAGGGATTAACCCAGGACCTTGAACACACATACTACACCAACTTTCCCACTTGGTTCTTATGGAATATTTTACCTATATTTGTGTGTGTGTGTGTGTGTGTGTGTGTGTGTGTGTGTGTGTGTGTGTATGTGTGTGCACTCCTAATCATGTGGAAACCAGAGGACAACTTAGATGTCATTCCTCCTTAGGCGTCATCCATCTTTTTTTTTTTTTTTTGTAACATGGTCTCTTACGGACAGGAATCTTCAAGTAGTCTAGGCTGGCCAGCAAGCCCAGGGATCGTACTGTCTCCATTGCCCCTGGGATGGGATTATGAGAGCACACCACCATACCTGGTTTTTGTATGTAGGTTTTCGGTATAAAAACTCAGGTCTTCATGCACTTTTCTGACTAAGCCATCTCCCTTGCCTACTAATTTGATCTTTGTTTTTCTGTATGTATTTTAGAATAATCTGTCAAATTCCATAAATAGACATCAGCATTTTCATGAAATTATATCTGTGCACCAATTTTGAAAGCTCTGACACTATTTGCAAAATTAAGTTCTCTAATCCATGAATTTAGTGTATCTCTCCATGTTTAGCTCTTCACCAGTGTTTCAAAATGGTTTTATAGGTTTTTCAAGAGAATTTTATGTGTCTCTTATTAGACTTATAGTACTCTGTCTTTGGTAGGATATTATTAATAAATATCTTTTAAAAGGTAGTTTAAATATCTTTTAAATATAAATATCTTAATATCTTTTAATAACCATTTTCCAAGTGTCA